AATCCAGTCGTTTCATAGCAAATTGCCTTTCTGCTGGAGATATTTTCCCCTTATTATAGTCTTTGGTGATGTTCGCTTTATAACCGTTAAGTTGATTTCGCTTAAATATAGCTTCTTTGGCAACCTTTTGAAGATACTTTTTGGTTGTTAGTGGGTTCATTTGTTCTTGAGCAAGAATCTTATCAACATTTTCATAATCTTCAAGACCGGCATCATTGAAAATGTCTTTTTGTATATCCTCATCATCTGTTTCATAATCTGGCACTTCATCTTCATCTGGTTGTTCATTGAAATATTGTGGATCAATAGAAAACTCTTTATCACCAGAAAAAATGCCTACATATGATGGTGGTTTTGGAACAATGTGTTTATCATTTTTTGGTAAAACTGTTTCATCAAAAAGACCCTCCACATCCATATCTTCAAATGGATCCACTTCTGGGTGATAATCAATGTCTAGAGTTTCACCTTTTTTTCTTTGTCGTTTTCTGATTGGAGTTATATTAAAATTACTGTCAATGACTTCATCTAATTTACCAGTTATTGATTTGAATAACTTTGAAAATGATTCTTGACTTGCCTTATGACTGATATCATTTTTCTTGATCGCATCACGGACACTATTGATTTGATTCCTTATCCGCTTAACATAGCAAAATTACTCGAAACTTTGTGGTTATTTATTTGCCATCTACCCAGTAAACAAGCTTCATGAAAAGCAGCATACCCCCCTTTTAGGTATCCTCAAAGTTCTGATTTTTTTATTTTTGCGCAAAATTTTTCAAAGTTTTGAATTTTTTTATTTTTGCCCCCCAGTGGAGAATTGAGTCAGACACCCCAACTACTGTACTACTGGACTTGTAAGGAACAGCAACTCAACCATACAAACCAGTCTCAATACTGTCGCCTCTTGAAGCTCTAGTAACTGGATGAAACTCAACGCAAAAACGTGCAAAGAAATGCGGATGTGTTTCTTAAAGGACCCCATAGAATTCCCTCATGTGAACATCGGCGATCAACAATTATAGCTTGTAACTTCACATAAAGTACTTGGTTTGGTGATTCAGAATAATTTAAAATGGAACAATCATATTGATTATATAGTCACTAAGGCCTCTAAACGCCTTCACATACTCTGAGTACTCCGTCGATGGGACGTTGAGATTAATGATCTGATTACTCTCCATACTGTTTTGATAAGATCTCTACTAGAATATTGCTGTGTAGTATATATGGCACCACACCCTACCCTCCTACCTCTCACTGGAATTAGAACGTATACAGAAACGTGCTGTTAAAATTATAGTCCCAGCGTTTCCTTACTTTGAAGCTCTTCAGTTTTTAAACTTAAGAACATTAGATGAAAGACGTAGTGAACTTCGTCTTAAAACTCTTGAAAAGATCTCAAGAGGAGCTCCTCTTGTTAAACATCTCCCAATGACAAGTCAGCACATGCATCACTATCAAACGAGACACGCTAGCAAATATATATATTGCCTAAATGCAGGACAGAAAGATTGCGTCGTAGTTTTTTCCCAAGTACTAGCCTAGCTTTTAATGATTATTAGACTTTTAGACTATATATACGCCCATTCAACTTGTATAAGCATAAAATTATTTGTAACTTTATTATAAAACCCATTGTAACCCAGTCCCTCTTTGATCAACTTTTGTAACTTTTATTGTTGTACGATTGTAACCACATTGTAATTCAGATTAGCTGCGATGATGGTGGAATTAAACTGTTTCTTCCTCTTTCTTCTTCTTCTTCTTCTTCTTCTTCGTCAGTAAGTCCCTGACATCCTGCCCTCATCCCTAAAGAAAATAAAGAAAATAGTGATGATAAAAATAACAACAATAATTACGACGATGACGGGAAAATCAACTTCAACATTGAATTTAATACGAGAAAACAGATGAATAGAACAAACATGGCCGAGATTACAAAGACTTGAAATACTTAAAGTCAGCCTTTACCAAGCATAGAAAAAGTGAAGGAATAAACGATCAAATCAATATAAAACAGCAAAGATGGATTAATGTAAAGGAAGGAGTCACTGTTATAAATATTCACAGCAAATAGAGGGCTCTGGTTCATAGGGGAAAGTATGTGAGTATGATGATCCACTGAGAGTTTCGTATTGTTTTATTCATGTTGAAAACTTTTCTTTCTCTCGACATAATAAATTTTATTTGAAGCTCAAAGACGCAGCGACCGCCGTGGGAATGATTCAGTAAGGTTACGATGCGCAACTTATTCACATTTTGCACCGGACCTGAGCTTTAAAAGCAAGTTTGAATCGAAACAGATGAGGTGTTGAAGTCTTGAAGTCTATAATAAACCATAAGATAAAAGATACATATCCTATGTTACATAAACGAAAAACTGTGTAATGAAAAATTACAATGATATACTATAACCAAAATTAAAGTATGTAATTATAGCAGGTTGTGTTAAAAAATTAGTCTATTTAAGTATGTGTTCATGAAAAAGGTAATGATCCATGGAGACGGAGAAAAATAAAACGAAAAGATAAAATGAATCAAAGTAAATAAATGAAAATAGGGATGAAGAGATAAAATACAACTTGCTCGCGATGTGGCCCCTTAATCTGCATGATTACAAAACAGACAACAGACCAAAACCATAAAAGTGAGAAAAAAAAACTTTATTAAGAACAGGATGTTGTCACACTTCATTTCAAAGGGAGCACGCGTTGCAGTCCTATATTTGTGGTTTGACTACCGTGAACCTTTGCAAAACGAACACATCTCAAAGGAAACCACCTTTATCAGAACGGAAGGCGGAATATTTGTGCAATAGTCCTTTTTACAGTTCCCGGCGCCATATTGAATGTGTAACCGCGCAAACATGATAGCGAGGTTAGTGTTGAGTCGCGTTGCGAGTTCTAGTGAGAGTTTAGTGAAATGTGGTTTTGCACTGTCCTTTTCATCGAGATATTTCGACAATGAACGATACTTTCCCTACGCAGGATATTCCTCCTTCTTCTTCGAAAGGAAGAGGAAGACACTGTGCCGCTTTTTGGTTGTGCTAATAGCTATTATGACACAGCAGGCAATTCAACAGGTCTGCATTTCTTCTAGTTTCCGAATGACTTCCAGCAGGAGTCAGATGGTGCAATCTCCTGAATCGCCAGCATGGAAAGGACGGATTCTTCATCACAAAATCAATTTTTTTTGTGCTCAGAACATTTCAAAAAAGAAGACATGCGAAAAAACGTGGGCAGGTCGCTGGAAATTGGTGAAAGGTTTATAATGTTTGTACGGTTGTTTTGTTGCTTGGATACCGAAAGAAAATGCCTGCTTTGATTTTCGGTATTGAAGTGTTTNACCACATTTCACTAAACTCTCACTAGAACTCGCAACGCGACTCAACACTAACCTCGCTATCATGTTTGCGCGGTTACACATCCAATATGGCGCCGGGAACTGTAAAAAGGGCTATTGAGTTTCCGATGTCACTTTTTGTTTTTGGAACTTTGTGGTTATTAAGGACCTCGTTCCTTTGATTCTTGATTAAGCAGAAGGTCGATCCAGTGGCAGAGATACACCGTGTCATTTAATTCGTGGCGTTATCCAGCCAACTTATGTAGTACTTGGCGAACGGCGAGTCGATCAAGAACGACACAAGGTAAGGTGCTCGCCGAGTCAAGAACTCAAATATCTAAATACCGTACGCGTAATGGCTCGATTTAGCACCCCATCTCTATAAAGCATTCGCACTCGAATTTGCTGTTGTCAGAAAGCGTCCCTATTGAGTATTTAGCATGCTCATTCTGCGCATGCATAGCATTCGTTATCGAGCCTTTCACTGGATAAAGTGATGCCGCAAATGAACTAAATGTCTGTCATTCTAACCGATTCTTTCTTCCTTTTACTGAAATATTCGGAGAATCAGTAGATTAGAGAGAAAAAAATGTTTTATCTCGTAAGTAGTAATTATGGCTACAGGTATAATGATGTTTGACAATGTTTCGAGAGAAGTAAACTATTTGTCATTTTCGTTAAATGCGATGAGACATTTGATCTACTTCGAATTCAATCAGTACAAGTGAGAGTACAATTTCTTTCTTACAAAGTGGCCATGAACTTGTGATTTCGTGCTCCCTGCCATAAGAATTATCTCATTAATTCCTCAAAACGCAAAGATAAAAAAAGAGCCCTGTGAGTAGGCGAATATTTACTCAGCACGGCAGCCACGTATACAATGGCATGATAAACAGTTATTGCATTGCGTTACATAAGCCTGGAAACTGCGAATTATAGAGAACAGAAAACGATTGCGTTATCAGCTGTCTTTCCGTTTGATAAGTTTGATTGGGCGATCTCTCTGAAATTGAGAAAAACCAGCCTACCCCATTGGCACATGACCTACGTGTGCTGTTGGGGGTTTACATCAACAGTTCCACGATTTAAAAATTTAGTCGAAGAATTTTCCGTGCGCTTTCAGGCATTTTTTTTCCAGTCTTCCTGTGGAGTTAAGGGGAACGTGAACCTGTCAGTGACTTATATTTAGGGTGGCAGTGCAACCGAGGATTAAGTAAGTTAACGAATTTCAGATTGTGATAGGAAAACGGTTTTACCCTTTAAGAATCCTATCGCAACAGGTTTACAGGGTTACATGAATAAACTCTAAATCTGGAGGAAAAAGAATATTATGTGATGTAGTTTTTTTTTAAAGGGCGGAATTACGAAGCTTGGGAATAATAACAAACGAAGTATTACAGATTGCACCATAATTTTCTCAGAAAATACTGTAGCACATGTACACTTGTATAGGAACGTTGCGTGTGCGCTGTCTCTATTCTCTGGGGCGGAAGAGTGAATAGCCGAATATACGTAATGGAATATGGGTCAGTCAAGCCACTGGATGTTGAAGAATCATTTAACTCTGCTTACTATTAAAAATACAAAAGCGTTTTTGGAACCTTGGGCTATCACAGGCGTCCCAAGCTCACCTCTAGAGGAAAAACGAAGGATAATTTCTTGAAAGCATCATGCGTTGTGTGACGCGGTGTTAAGTTACGTGACCAACCGCAGAGAATTTGAATGCGTTCTTGAGATTAGTATAGGCAACGAAATATGGTCAGTTTAAAACACTAAATATTCCGAAATATGAATATTTTATACTTAAAATTGATGAAACTGACTCATATCTTGTGTGTCCGTGTTGGTTTTTGGTGATTTCCGCCATTTAATGGGCTTGCTTTGCCGTTATTGTTTTTCCTGTTTTTACACTGCGTCACACAACGCGTGACGCTTCAAGAAATAATTTTCGTTTTTCCTCGAGACGTGAGCTTGGGACACCTGTGGGACTACATGTATTGGAAACGCAAAATAAGTTTTTCTTCTTCGCTCGCCTAAATTTAAAATAACTTTACGTAAATAAAATAAATGAAAATATGAGTTGCCCGTTTACTTACTTTTAAATTAATTTTTATAATTATCATTAGTCACAAATTAATAAAATATCTACTTCTTTATAGGTGCCGACTTCTGACATAGAAGCCCCGAATTGTATTTCACTATTCGCGGCAGTGTTGGATTATTGGGTGATTTTAAAACCTTATACATTTGTATTATTTGGATCTGAAAAGTTACTTCATTTATTATTCACTGGAAAATCGGTTAACCGGCAGCACGGCGTCTTTATATGGGATTTTCCTATGACAACACTTATGCTAAAGATTTTTTCTTCTTTTGAAATGAAATTTTTAGAAGGTACTGTCTAATGGGACAAGAAATATAGGGCAATGGGATATACGGCATAGAATGAAAAATAAAAACAACGCTGATGTAGTCTCGTGTTCGCAGTTCACGCAAATGTTTTGAAATAACTTTTATGTGGAAACGGTTGAAAGCAGTTGGCAAGAAGTTTGCTGTTTGCGGTAAACACATTTCTTAACCGCATATATTAATGAATAGACAGGTTTTACTTTGGAAAAATTCATTTAAGCCTAGTATTTTTCTTAAAACAAAACGGTCCAACTGCCTTCCTTTCACGGTACCGTTCTTAAAAATCAGTCGCCTAATTGCCACCTGGATTTTTTCTTATTCATTTATTTCACTTTGTTACTAAGACTTATTATAAGCGATGTTCTATCTTAGGTTTCTCTTTTTCTCTTCTCAAGTCTTTCCTCTCTGTTCTAAGGAAATTCAATGGAACTGTCCATAATTCATTGAAGAACGTATTTTAATTTGTCGCATAATTTTCACTGAAGGAGATGACACCATGGCCACTGCATCGTCTCTATTTAAATCTGAGGAAAAGGCCAATTATTATCGATTGTACTGCCTTCTTTCGGATGTAGGATCACAGGTCCTGAGGAACACGTTTCAAAGAGTTCGTCCACCAGGAGCCCTTGAATGGTTTTCAGCTGACCCTCAAAGACATGCCAAGCTACTATCATTCCGACAGAAAGAGGTCATTAGCCTGTCTGACTGGGATAAACTTTACCCAGCTGTAAGTTCATCAGTTACATCCGATGAATTCAAAATCGAACTTCTTGGAATTCTTCTAGTAAGCATTTGTAACCTTGACGCACCTGCAACCGGTTGGAATAGATTCCCTCCCATGTCAGACTCGTCTGTTCAGGCTGACATTACTCGCCTACGGTTCTATCATTACAATGTGATAGGCTCTTATCCCATACAGGCTTCAATCAACGATGCATTGTTTAATATCTGTTGGAAGAATGTCAAAATGGTGTTATTGCGCTTAGGAGGAGCAGTCTATGAGGATCCCATCAATCATTACAGAAATAAAACTTTGGAGGACGTTGATGAGAGGGTTTACAGGGAGTTCCCTCGAGAACCGAGGAAAGGTTCTTTGTACAACATGTACAAAACTTTACAAAAGTCGCTCACGTTAGGTAAGTAAATTCATACTTTTCATTTCGATGAATTGCATAAAGGACCATCAAGCTCTGTCGAGGGTGTTTCCGCAGTCCTCTTTAATCTTGCCTCTCGTAACTGCCACTGACGAATTTCTGACACGTTCATTACACTGTTTCTTGACAAAGTTTTCTTGTTGTTTTTTTGTAGCGAATTACGCGAACGTCTTGACACGAGTGATTTTAAAGTCCTCTCGCGAGACAAACAAAACAAACAAAAAACGCAAGGCCCTTGCGGATTGTTATAGCACTTACCAGTACAAAATGTTTTGCTGCTCGCATCTCGCGTATTATTTTTACAATTAATATCGCAACCATCATGATCATCGTCATTATAATCGTTGGTGTTGGTATTATTATAATAATCATCATTACTTTTATTGTTATCACCATTATTATTTTATTTTATCATAGTATTTATTTTGTGTTTTCTAATAGAAGTGTCTGCGGTATTACAGCTTATATAATATCATAACTTGGACCTTGACAACTTTTAATCGTCTCGTTATGGTTGAATAGGTGGTTCAGAAGCAGTAAAGGCAACAGCGAGAAGTAAGTAAGATGCAATTGTTAATAATCAAACGGCATCTAAATCTGAATAAAGGCTGACAGTTTCTAAAGAAGCTGTTTGGGGCTGCGTCGGTGGGGGTAACGAAATAATTTGGATATATCAACAAAGTTGAAATGGTAAATTGGCCACCGTAACGATTACAAATGCTGACGTTTCGAGCGTTAGCCCTTCGTCGGAGCGACGAAAAGCTAACGCTCGAAACGTCGGCATCTAAATCTGTTCAGAGAGAAACCGATACTCTCTTTAGAATCACCAAAATGTAATAGTGATGGACTTCTCGATGAAACACGAAAGTTGCTTCGTATTTCTAAAATGATTGTATTCCTTTTGCATGTATGACTATACGCTCCCTTTTCTGAAAAACAAAAAGGCTCGTCGTATTTTTAGCCAGAGTGCGTGATGAAATCAAGTTCAAATTCTCTTTTGTCCCCACTTGGCGTACTGTGCGAGTAATGTGGAGGTATGCAATAAGGTAATCTTGTTCAAATAATGTTGATTCGTCTGTTTACTTCATTATTTTACAGAAAGGGACACGGTTCCAGCCGAAATTTTTGCACGCGGCCCTTTTACTCCATATGCTTATAGAGGGGCCCTTATGGAAGGAAAGGCAAAGGTAAAAAGGTTGTCAATAATTCTGATCGGACAAGAACGAGCGGGGAAGACCAGTTTGAAAAGGTCACTAAAGGGACAACCATTCAATGCGAATCAAGAAAGTACCCAAGGAATAGAGATAGATCGTTCCTATTTTAAATTGGTCAAAGAGACTTGGGGTTCATAGAAACTGGACTTTCCAGGCACTTCATTCGACCATATCATAGCCCGAGCTGTCGCGAATGACTTGACAGGTGATAACGAGACAACCGGAGCTACAAGCGGGTTTCCCACTAGAGTTGAAGGAACACCTGAGGCACATCACGATCTGCGGATAAGTCCTGAAAATTGTGGAGCTACGTGCAACAGTAAGGATGCAAATAACTCTGATTAAGTACATAGGACGTCCTCAGTAACCGATCCTGGCATGCCCGATGAGTTAGTGCCCTTGCTAACAAAGGTAATTTGCAAAGATACAAGGTCAAATGACCAACAAGAAATAGACTCCATTCTGTTTGATTTTGGCGGACAGCTGGTTTACTATGTTACTCATCCTCTTTTTCTAACCCCAAGAGCTATCTATCTCTTGACGTATGATCTCAGCCGGAATCCTAATGATCGAGCTAGTCAATGGATGACAGAGGGAAGGTCAACGAAACGAGAGGAAAGTTTGTGTCTTGACACCAATTGGGATTACTTGGACTCTTGGTTGTCATCTGTGGCATCCCTTGCCAATCAAAGTTGTCTTAATGAGGCGAGTAGTCGTAATTCAGAAAATATGCCAGAAAAGCTCCCTGCTGTTTTATTAGTCTGTACTCATGCTGATCGACCCTATTGTACAAATACTGCCTCCTCACTTGCGGCTGGGATCTTTGAATCTCTTCAAGGGAAGCCGTACAGTGGTCACCTGTATAAAGGCGTTTTTGCAGTGGATAACACTAAGTCAGGTCGCTGGTTTTGGTGCCCAGAAGTAAAACGTTTAAGGAAAGCAATTCTTGATGTCGCTAATGAGTTACCGCATTCCGAAGAGGATCTCCCTATAAAGTGGCTAAAGTTTGAAAAGGAACTGAAAGCCAAGGTTGAGGAGGGGCACAGATGGATCACTTTTGAGTCTGCAAGGCAGACTGCATTTGGAAGGTGCCACATTTCTGATGAAAAAGAGTTTCTAAAGTTAATGAACTATCTACACAACCAGCGGATTGTTATTCATTTCGCTAACACGCTAAGCCTAAATGAATTGGTTGTGCTGGATATTCAGTGGCTAATCGATGTCTTCAAGAAGGTGATTACTGTTGAGCCGCACGGTGTGGAAGGAAGTCAATGTAGAGAACGTTGGCTCAAATTTGCAAAAACTGGAATTCTCGATGAGGAACTGCTCGAGCACTTGTGGGGTGATTTGAACAAGCAGAAGGAAACCATTCAAAGCCTTACTAAAATCATGGAGAAGTTCAGTCTAATGTGCACATGGCCATCGTTAAATGGAAGGAAGCAATACCTTGTACCGTCAATGTTAATATCTCATCCTTCCGAAGAAGTTAAAAGCCTTGTTGCATCCTCGCGACTTCCGTCTTTGTATATCTCGTTTCATTCCTGTCAAGTACCCACAAGCTTGTTTCCGCGAATGGTTCTACAGTTTTACCAGTGGTGCTCAGAGGAATGGCCAAATCTTTACCAACCTCAACTTTATCACAATTTTGCTAGGTTCCTGATCTTGCCCGAAGAAGGTTGTTCTATAATACTTCTCTCCCACTCTTCCTTCATCGAAGTTGTCGCTCATCAGGCAACAGGTATTTGTGATGCCTCAAACGGATCGGGTGGAAACTCCGATTTCCCCACCAGTGTGACTGAACACACTTCCGATGTACTCGTTGCACGGGCCGTTAGACGACAATTAGTGTTGATGCTGGAATGTATGCGCAAGGAGTTCCCTTGGTTGAAGGACATGAAATGGAAGCTAAAAGTGCTCTGTTCAGTGTGTTGCCGTGGGAATTCTGTTATTTACTGTCGCGACCATGGCGTCAAAGGTTGTAAGAAGGAGCAGTGCTTGCACTTCTGGTCAGAAGCCAATTTTGCTACAGATCAACAATTTGTGGTTTGTGACAGGTCTGCCTGTGCTGCCGATCTCAGACTGGACATCAGGAAGTTTGCACCGTGGTTCAACTTTCTAGAAGTGCAGGTCAAGACATGTAACTATGTAAATTTATGACGTTGAAATATCTTCAAATCTAGTAACACACGTAATGGCACAAATAAAATACATGAACAAATGATCGATCGAATCAAGTCCAAACGAACGACCTGATAAGATTTAGTATTAGTTATTTTGTTTTGTTTTGGTTTTATTTTTAAACAACTGACAGATTATTCAACGTTATGACGAATTTTGTCTGTGCTTTTGTAGCAGGTGCAAGTTGACCGTGATTGGTGTTCTTCAAAGAAACTTAGTTCGTCAAAAGGTGTGTTGACCTTTTTTCCTTCCACAGGTTTTCAAGTGAGCTTATTTACTTTTATTCGTTTCTTTTTTATTAAATGTGTGATCGTTTTAGTGTGACGGTATATGATGTACTACTTACCCTCCGATAAGTTGTAGTCTAACGTTGGTAATGCCTCTTAACCTTTGGCTACACCGCTCCTTTTATCTTGGAAGCAGTATCACTAGTAACAACACCTTAACTCATCTCAGTTTTAGAGTAGTGCAAGAGTTGTGGTGTCTGCGAGAGAAAAATTAAAACCAGAGTAGTACAAAAAGATACGTACATGATCAGCATCGAAAAGATACAAAATACTTAAGTATTAAAAATGAAATTCTTGGGTGGGCACGGTTTCCTGAGAGGATTTTGTTTGTGGGGTTCCTTTTAAAATCGCTTTGATGTGTTCAGGAAGACTTAGGGCATAAGCCTCGGTCATTATCAGCCCCGTAGTCCTAATTTGGTGCACGGAGCAACTTTATCAATTCTAGTGAGCGCTCTTCTTGCGAAGAGTAACGCTAAATCACATGTTTTTGCACGCTTGTTATTGGTTTTTTTTTGTGTGTTTATTTTGTTATTTTTGCGTCTGTGTTTGTCTGCCAGTATATCTTTGTTTTGTTTTGTTTTGCATTTTGTCGCTTCAGAGAAAGAAGCAAAGGAACTTGTTCTCTCCAGTGGTGCTATTGATTTCCTTCACTCGACTTCTAATGCTTCAAGTGTCGTCGTTCCAATTCTGAACAAGCTGCAGTTAAGCCAAGAGGCATTGACAAATCCTTTACCTGAAACCACGAGAATAGTCCGTTCTTTGGTTAGAGTAGCTAAGAGGGAAAATCGCTATGACGTAGTAAAGCATTTAAAGGAAATGACTCCAGCTGGAACCGCAGGTAGTTTTCTTTTATTATTTTGATTCGCTTCATCACCTCTTCATCTTGATCAAGCCTTAGGACCATTTACAACGTGTGTCATTTACAAACAAATTCAGTCTTCGCACGTATCTGAGTTTACTACGGTGCTTTTACTTTATAGATTTTACCGGGAGGTCAAATTTATTTGGATTCTTGTCTCTCTTCGCCTCCCCCCCCTTACCATCCCCTTGCCCCCTTCCCCCGTTACATTACCCTCATTTATGATGTTTCTTTCTTTAGGTCCAATTTTACCGGAAGAACTTGATCTGCTGAACATCTCTCCATCGAAGTTGAAGGAACTAGCGATCAACTTGTGTGGTAAAACCGTTAACTATCCATCGTAATTAGGATTGCATTATATTCTGTGTTTGGATGTTCTGTTTCAATGTTAAAGGTACGACTTGAACCAGAGCTGTAAAGTTGTCTTCAGTGGCAGTTTTTACGTCCCTGACAGCCTCTTCCATAAAATGTTATCATGGAAAGTTAAACCGAAAAAAGGCCAAACTGAAAGGCTTTAAAATCATATTACCCTGGTCTATAGGTACTCTTGTAACTTCCCATGAAACGTATTACACTGTTATTTCCAAATGACATTGATCACTCGACCTCGTACCTGACAAGTGGTTACTACTACGCTTTATTACTCGACTCGGGCAGTCAGAGGGCCAATAACTAAAATCAACCAATCAAAATGCTCTATTGCCGGTCAATATTCTCTCAGTATTGGACCGGGCACTGTCCTGAATGGTCCCGAATGATACCGCATTTGTGTCCCTTTGAACTTCAGTCGTATAATAAATCTCTTATTAACCAAGCTTGCTCGGGACCGTACTGGAAGAATATCGGCCCTCGGTCTTTTTTGTACGGACCTCGCTGCGCTCGGTCCGTACTGTCAAGACCTCGGGCCGATATTCTCCCAGTACGGCCCTCGCGCTTGGTTAATAAGATATATATAT